CTCAATCACTTGAGAAAGCTACCGTCATTCCAAGTCCCAAGCGAAGAACATACAGAGGTCCGTCGCTTGAGCATGTGTCAGCGGCTGCAATGGATTTTGAAGCAGCCTACATCGTTGATTCAGTGGGGGAAACGCCGACTACATTCAAGTCGGCGATGGAATCAAGCGACTCCGGCAAGTGGAAAGAAGCGTGTGACTCGGAGTTCGATTCGCTTCAGAGAAACGACACGTGGGAAATCGTGCCTCTTCCGAAAGGTCGCAAGGCCATCGGGTGCCGATGGGTTTTTCGTGTAAAGGAGAATCAAGATGGCGAAGTTGAACGTTTCAAGGCAAGACTTGTGGCCAAAGGATTCTCACAGAAATTCGGAGTTGACTATGAAGAAACTTTCGCACCGGTGGCCAAGTTCACATCGATTCGTGTGGTGCTCAGTATGGCGGCTAAGTACGGCCTAATGCTACATCAGATGGACGTCAAGACAGCGTTTCTTAACGGCTCCCTCAACGAAGACATCTACATGGACCAGCCGGACGGATACCTGGATGCAACACAGCCGGACTATGTGTGCAAGCTAAAGAGATCACTCTACGGCTTGAAGCAATCGCCTCGCATGTGGAACCAAACAATCGATGGGTTCATGATCAAGATGGGATTCAAGAAGTGCGAATCGGACCACTGCATCTACATCAAGCGAGACGACCAAGACATGATTCTCGTGGTGCTCTACGTCGATGATCTCATCCTGGCCAGCAGCAACAACGAACTCCTCAAGTCAACCAAGATGGCGCTGAGCAAACGCTTCGAAATGACGGATCTCGGTGAGCTCGATTACTTTCTCGGCATGGAGATCAAGAACGACCGTAAGACGGGAATGGTGACTGTACAACAAACCAAGTTTCTCAAGTCCGTGTTAACCAAGTTCGGAATGGATAACAGCAAGCCAGTGAAGACGCCTCAAGATCCCGGCCTGAAGCTAACCAAGAACATGTGTGAACAAGAATGCAAGCACGAAGACACCATGTGCAACGTGCCATATCGAAGTGCTGTCGGAGGCATCATGTATCTCATGGTCGCCACACGTCCGGATCTAGCTGCTGCAGTGGGGATCATTATCCCAGTTCTCGTCCGACCCATGCCCGACTCACTGGCAAGCTTTGAAGCGTGTGCTGAGATACCTGCAAGCAACGCCCAATCATGGTCTTGAGTTTACACGTGAAGAAGGAAGCCGTATCTGCGGGTACACCGACGCAGACTGGGCCGGCGACATTGAGTCAAGACGAAGTACAAGCGGCTATGTGTTCATGATGAGCGGAGGATGCATCAGCTGGAAAAGCCAGAAACAACGGACGGTCGCGCTATCTTCAACAGAAGCAGAATACATGGCGCTTTCCGAAGCAACCAAAGAAGCAGTATGGCTCAAAGTGCTTTTGGGGGAACTTGGTGAGATGACAAGCGACGAAGCGATCAAGATGTATGAAGACAACCAAGGATCAATCGCTCTCGCCAAGAACCCGGAGTTCCATAAGAGAACAAAACACATCGACATACGCTACCATTTTGTGCGTGAGAAGGTGGAATCAGGTGAAGTCGTTTTGGAGTATTGCCCGACTCAAGATATGCTGGCAGACATGATGACCAAGCCGATCGCCGCTGTACAATTTGAAAACATTCGCGATCGACTTGGGATCCAAGGTGCCGCAGCTAACGAGTCGAGAGGGAGTGTTGAAAAGACAGCGGCTGTGAAGAAGACACCTCGTCAAGCTGCGTCAAGTGTTGAAGCAAGTGGAAGACCAAGCTTCGCTATACCGGTGGGTACCGGTATGTACCAGTAAGGGCGAAGTCAGGAAATGACGTCACTGGATGACGTCATTGCATGACGTCAGTGGGTGACGTCACTGGATGACGTCACTGCGAATAATAGGCTTAGAGGTAGTATTCAAAGTTGCGAACTAAGTACCTATTACAAATATATATTCACTTTGCGTTTTGCACTCGGACCAAGAAGTCTAAAGTTCATCATGAAGTTGCGGCGAAGTTCATGGAATACGCTGCGATGGCCGAAACGCAAACCGGAAAGCGCGTGAAGTACCTTCAAAGCGACAATGGGGGTGAATACAAGTCCGACAAGCTGGCACGATTCTGCGCGGAACGGGGAATACAACAAAGGTTCACACCCCCATATACTCCTCAGCTAAACGGAGTAGCTGAGAGAATGAATCGCACGCTGGTCGAGTGTGCGCGTTGCATGATGGAACACGCTGGACTGGGAAAGAGCTACTGGGGTGAAGCAGTGATGACGGCGATGTTTCTTCGAAACCGCTGTCCAACACGTGCCATTCACCAAGACAAGTCTCCATATCAAGTGTGGACGATGAAGAAACCGATTCTGGCCAACCTTAAAGTGTTTGGATGCCACGCGTATGTTCAAGTGCCTCAAGACAAACGTGTTGAAAAGACAGCGGCTGTGAAGAAGACACCTCGTCAAGCTGCGTCAAGTGTTGAAGCAAGTGGAAGACCAAGCTCCGCTATACCGGTGGGTACCGGTATGTACCAGTAAGGGCGAAGTCAGGAAATGACGTCACTGGATGACGTCATTGCATGACGTCAGTGGGTGACGTCAGTGGGTGACGTCACTGGATGACGTCACTGCGAATAATAGGCTTAGAGGTAGTATTCAAAGTTGCGAACTAAGTACCTATTATAAATATATATTCACTTTGCGTTTTGCACTCGGACCAAGAAGTCTAAAGTTCATCAGGTTATGAGCCCAAGTTCGTCAGACTCTGAAACCGCCAACAATTCAAGCTTAGCTGCCATGGACGCCTCCTCCCTCCGCATCTCCAAGTTCGATGGAACTAACTTCCACGCCTGGAAGTTCAAGATGCAGATGGTGCTGGAGGAACGGGACCTATGGGAGGTCGTCAGCGGTGAGATCAAGGCGGAACAGTGCGAGACTCAGTTGGACCAAGCGACGTACAAGAGGAAGTCAAGAAAGGCGATGGCAGTGATCTGTCTAGCCATGGAAGATTCCCAGCTACCGTTGGTCCGGTCGGCAAGTGGTGCATGCGACGCATGGTCAAGGTTGGAAGACCACTTCGAGAAGAAGAGTCTTGCCAACAAGCTGTTCTTGCGCCGTCGCTTCTTCACGACAATGATGGAAGAAGGCGACGATGTGCTCGAACACATCAACAAGCTCAAGACGCTGGCGGAACAGCTAGAAGCGGTGGGGGCTCCAGTCTGCGAGGACGATCTGGTGATCACACTCCTCGGCAGCCTGAGTGACTCGTATCAATTCTTGATCACAGCTTTGGAGTCGCGCTCAGACACTCTTAGCTGGGAGCTCGTGACGTCTCGACTGCTTCATGAAGAAATGAAGCGGAAGGAGCAAGGAAGTAAAGGTGATGAAGCTTCGCAAGGTCAAGCGTTCATCACAAGGGACAATCAGCGCAAAGGGCGACCAGTGAAGAAGTCCTGGCCGTGCCACAATTGCGGAAAGATTGGTCATTGGATGGCGGAGTGCCCCCTCGCGCATCCAAGAAAACACGGAGAGACACCGGCCACAGCGTGCTCAAGACAGCGGCGACCGCTATCGATCACAACGTGCAAACGTCGCTCAAGAAGAAGACTCGGGCGACTACCTCTTTTCGATCGGTGAAACGACATCTGCGAAATCGAGCGACATCTGGCTGGTCGACTCCGGGGCGACGCAGCACATGACGTGCTCCAAGAAGTTCATGCGGAACTACAAGGGGTTTGACGCTGTGGATGTCCATCTCGCGGATGATAGAATCGTCCAAGCAATCGGCAGTGGGGACATTGTCATGTCGATGAAGACACCCCAAGGGATGAAGAAAGGTGTGCTCACAAACGTGTGGCACATCCCAAAGTTATCCAGAAACCTGTTCTCGGTCGGCCGCTTCATCAAGGATGTCGGCCCAGTGACGTTCACGAAGGATGGGTGCTATGGAGAAGCGAAAGGGACCAAGTGGAAAATTGGTGCCCGTGAAGGTAAAGGACTGTTCAAGCTGCAAATGACTCCAGTGGCGCCGGAACAAGCAAATGCAGCCAAGTCGTCGGGATGTCAAGGGGGCACCAAGTCGTACCTCTGGCACCTTCGGCTTGGCCACATAGGTCATGATGGACTCAATTGCATCGTGACGAAGAACATTGGAATTGGCATCGACATATCTTCGGTGAAGAAGTGGGACGTGTGTGAAGGTTGTGCTCTGGGAAAACAGACTCGAGTGCGCTTCCAATCAAACACTACAGCTCGCACCTCCAAACTCCTCGAAGTGATTCACAGCGACGTATGCGGACCGATGTCGATGGCAACTTTCAGTGGAAAACGGTACTTCGTGACATTCATTGATGACAAGTCAAGATACTGTGTCGTCTATCTGCTCAAGAGCAAATCTGAAGTTGCGGCGAAGTTCATGGAATACGCTGCGATGGCCGAAACGCAAACCGGAAAGCGCGTGAAGTACCTTCAAAGCGACAATGGGGGTGAATACAAGTCCGACAAGCTGGCACGATTCTGCGCGGAACGGGGAATACAACAAAGGTTCACACCCCCATATACTCCTCAGCTAAACGGAGTAGCTGAGAGAATGAATCGCACGCTGGTCGAGTGTGCGCGTTGCATGATGGAACACGCTGGACTGGGAAAGAGCTACTGGGGTGAAGCAGTGATGACGGCGATGTTTCTTCGAAACCGCTGTCCAACACGTGCCATTCACCAAGACAAGTCTCCATATCAAGTGTGGACGATGAAGAAACCGATTCTGGCCAACCTTAAAGTGTTTGGATGCCACGCGTATGTTCAAGTGCCTCAAGACAAACGCGCGAAGTTCGACTCCAAGTCATCACTCTGTCGTTTCCTGGGATACGCCGAACACCAGAAGTCATATCGATTTGAGGAAGTGTCAACAGGAGCGATCAAGATCAGTCGCGATGCCACATTCATGGAAGACAAGTTTGATGAAGGTCCGCGCAACTACAACGATGAGTCAAGTGTCGTTGAGTTTGATGATCATGATGAGGACGAAGAAAAAGAAGAAGGTAAAACTGACGACGACATGGACTCGAGCGACGATGACAACGAAGACACCAGGTCTTCGAAGAGCAACATCAAGAGACACACGCGCACTCAATCACTTGAGAAAGCTACCGTCATTCCAAGTCCCAAGCGAAGAACATACAGAGGTCCGTCGCTTGAGCATGTGTCAGCGGCTACAATGGATTTTGAAGCAGCCTACATCGTTGATTCAGTGGGGGAAACGCCGACTACATTCAAGTCGGCGATGGAATCAAGCGACTCCGGCAAGTGGAAAGAAGCGTGTGACTCGGAGTTCGATTCGCTTCAGAGAAACGACACGTGGGAAATCGTGCCTCTTCCGAAAGGTCGCAAGGCCATCGGGTGCCGATGGGTTTTTCGTGTAAAGGAGAATCAAGATGGCGAAGTTGAACGTTTCAAGGCAAGACTTGTGGCCAAAGGATTCTCACAGGAATTCGGAGTTGACTATGAAGAAACTTTCGCACCGGTGGCCAAGTTCACATCGATTCGTGTGGTGCTCAGTATGGCGGCTAAGTACGGCCTAATGCTACATCAGATGGACGTCAAGACAGCGTTTCTTAACGGCTCCCTCAACGAAGACATCTACATGGACCAGCCGGACGGATACCTGGATGCAACACAGCCGGACTATGTGTGCAAGCTAAAGAGATCACTCTACGGCTTGAAGCAATCGCCTCGCATGTGGAACCAAACAATCGATGGGTTCATGATCAAGATGGGATTCAAGAAGTGCGAATCGGACCACTGCATCTACATCAAGCGAGACGACCAAGACATGATTCTCGTGGTGCTCTACGTCGATGATCTCATCCTGGCCAGCAGCAACAACGAACTCCTCAAGTCAACCAAGATGGCGCTGAGCAAACGCTTCGAAATGACGGATCTCGGTGATGAACTTTAGACTTCTTGGTCCGAGTGCAAAACGCAAAGTGAATATATATTTATAATAGGTACTTAGTTCGCAACTTTGAATACTACCTCTAAGCCTATTATTCGCAGTGACGTCATCCAGTGACGTCACCCACTGACGTCACCCACTGACGTCATGCAATGACGTCATCCAGTGACGTCATTTCCTGACTTCGCCCTTACTGGTACATACCGGTACCCACCGGTATAGCGAAGCTTGGTCTTCCACTTGCTTCAACACTTGACGCAGCTTGACGAGGTGTCTTCTTCACAGCCGCTGTCTTTTCAACACTCCCTCTCGACTCGTTAGCTGCGGCACCTTGGATCCCAAGTCGATCGCGAATGTTTTCAAATTGTACAGCGGCGATCGGCTTGGTCATCATGTCTGCCAGCATATCTTGAGTCGGGCAATACTCCAAAACGACTTCACCTGATTCCACCTTCTCACGCACAAAATGGTAGCGTATGTCGATGTGTTTTGTTCTCTTATGGAACTCCGGGTTCTTGGCGAGAGCGATTGATCCTTGGTTGTCTTCATACATCTTGATCGCTTCGTCGCTTGTCATCTCACCAAGTTCCCCCAAAAGCACCTTGAGCCATACTGCTTCTTTGGTTGCTTCGGAAAGCGCCATGTATTCTGCTTCTGTTGAAGATAGCGCGACCGTCCGTTGTTTCTGGCTTTTCCAGCTGATGCATCCTCCGCTCATCATGAACACATAGCCGCTTGTACTTCGTCTTGACTCAATGTCGCCGGCCCAGTCTGCGTCGGTGTACCCGCAGATACGGCTTCCTTCTTGACGTGTAAACTCAAGACCATGATTGGGCGTTGCTTGCAGGTATCTCAGCACACGCTTCAAAGCTTGCCAGTGAGTCGGGCATGGGTCGGACGAGAACTGGGATAATGATCCCACTGCAGCAGCTAGATCCGGACGTGTGGCGACCATGAGATACATGATGCCTCCGACAGCACTTCGATATGGCACGTTGCACATGGTGTCTTCGTGCTTGCATTCTTGTTCACACATGTTCTTGGTTAGCTTCAGGCCGGGATCTTGAGGCGTCTTCACTGGCTTGCTGTTATCCATTCCGAACTTGGTTAACACGGACTTGAGAAACTTGGTTTGTTGTACAGTCACCATTCCCGTCTTACGGTCGTTCTTGATCTCCATGCCGAGAAAGTAATCGAGCTCACCGAGATCCGTCATTTCGAAGCGTTTGCTCAGCGCCATCTTGGTCGACTTGAGGAGTTCGTTGTTGCTGCTGGCCAGGATGAGATCATCGACGTAGAGCACCACGAGAATCATGTCTTGGTCGTCTCGCTTGATGTAGATGCAGTGGTCCGATTCGCACTTCTTGAATCCCATCTTGATCATGAACCCATCGATTGTTTGGTTCTGATAAACTTTAGACTTCTTGGTCCGAGTGCAAAACGCAAAGTGAATATATATTTATAATAGGTACTTAGTTCGCAACTTTGAATACTACCTCTAAGCCTATTATTCGCAGTGACGTCATCCAGTGACGTCACCCACTGACGTCACCCACTGACGTCATGCAATGACGTCATCCAGTGACGTCATTTCCTGACTTCGCCCTTACTGGTACATACCGGTACCCACCGGTATAGCGAGGCTTGGTCTTCCACTTGCTTCAACACTTGACGCAGCTTGACGAGGTGTCTTCTTTACAGCCGCTGTCTTTTCAACACTCCCTCTCGACTCGTTAGCTGCGGCACCTTGGATCCCAAGTCGATCGCGAATGTTTTCAAATTGTACAGCGGCGATCGGCTTGGTCATCATGTCTGCCAGCATATCTTGAGTCGGGCAATACTCCAAAACGACTTCACCTGATTCCACCTTCTCACGCACAAAATGGTAGCGTATGTCGATGTGTTTTGTTCTCTTATGGAACTCCGGGTTCTTGGCGAGAGCGATTGATCCTTGGTTGTCTTCATACATCTTGATCGCTTCGTCGCTTGTCATCTCACCAAGTTCCCCCAAAAGCACTTTGAGCCATACTGCTTCTTTGGTTGCTTCGGAAAGCGCCATGTATTCTGCTTCTGTTGAAGATAGCGCGACCGTCCGTTGTTTCTGGCTTTTCCAGCTGATGCATCCTCCGCTCATCATGAACACATAGCCGCTTGTACTTCGTCTTGACTCAATGTCGCCGGCCCAGTCTGCGTCGGTGTACCCGCAGATACGGCTTCCTTCTTCACGTGTAAACTCAAGACCATGATTGGGCGTTGCTTGCAGGTATCTCAGCACACGCTTCAAAGCTTGCCAGTGAGTCGGGCATGGGTCGGACGAGAACTGGGATAATGATCCCACTGCAGCAGCTAGATCCGGACGTGTGGCGACCATGAGATACATGATGCCTCCGACAGCACTTCGATATGGCACGTTGCACATGGTGTCTTCGTGCTTGCATTCTTGTTCACACATGTTCTTGGTTAGCTTCAGGCCGGGATCTTGAGGCGTCTTCACTGGCTTGCTGTTATCCATTCCGAACTTGGTTAACACGGACTTGAGGAACTTGGTTTGTTGTACAGTCACCATTCCCGTCTTACGGTCGTTCTTGATCTCCATGCCGAGAAAGTAATCGAGCTCACCGAGATCCGTCATTTCGAAGCGTTTGCTCAGCGCCATCTTGGTTGACTTGAGGAGTTCGTTGTTGCTGCTGGCCAGGATGAGATCATCGACGTAGAGCACCACGAGAATCATGTCTTGGTCGTCTCGCTTGATGTAGATGCAGTGGTCCGATTCGCACTTCTTGAATCCCATCTTGATCATGAACCCATCGATTGTTTGGTTCCACATGCGAGGCGATTGCTTCAAGCCGTAGAGTGATCTCTTTAGCTTGCACACATAGTCCGGCTGTGTTGCATCCAGGTATCCGTCCGGCTGGTCCATGTAGATGTCTTCGTTGAGGGAGCCGTTAAGAAACGCTGTCTTGACGTCCATCTGATGTAGCATTAGGCCGTACTTAGCCGCCATACTGAGCACCACACGAATCGATGTGAACTTGGCCACCGGTGCGAAAGTTTCTTCATAGTCAACTCCGAATTCCTGTGAGAATCCTTTGGCCACAAGTCTTGCCTTGAAACGTTCAACTTCGCCATCTTGATTCTCCTTTACACGAAAAACCCATCGGCACCCGATGGCCTTGCGACCTTTCGGAAGAGGCACGATTTCCCACGTGTCGTTTCTCTGAAGCGAATCGAACTCCGAGTCACACGCTTCTTTCCACTTGCCGGAGTCGCTTGATTCCATCGCCGACTTGAATGTAGTCGGCGTTTCCCCCACTGAATCAACGATGTAGGCTGCTTCAAAATCCATTGCAGCCGCTGACACATGCTCAAGCGACGGACCTCTGTATGTTCTTCGCTTGGGACTTGGAATGACGGTAGCTTTCTCAAGTGATTGAGTGCGCGTGTGTCTCTTGATGTTGCTCTTCGAAGACCTGGTGTCTTCGTTGTCATCGTCGCTCGAGTCCATGTCGTCGTCAGTTTTACCTTCTTCTTTTTCTTCGTCCTCATCATGATCATCAAACTCAACGACACTTGACTCATCGTTGTAGTTGCGCGGACCTTCATCAAACTTGTCTTCCATGAATGTGGCATCGCGACTGATCTTGATCGCTCCTGTTGACACTTCCTCAAATCGATATGACTTCTGGTGTTCGGCGTATCCCAGGAAACGACAGAGTGATGACTTGGAGTCGAACTTCGCGCGTTTGTCTTGAGGCACTTGAACATACGCGTGGCATCCAAACACTTTAAGGTTGGCCAGAATCGGTTTCTTCATCGTCCACACTTGATATGGAGACTTGTCTTGGTGAATGGCACGTGTTGGACAGCGGTTTCGAAGAAACATCGCCGTCATCACTGCTTCACCCCAGTAGCTCTTTCCCAGTCCAGCGTGTTCCATCATGCAACGCGCACACTCGACCAGCGTGCGATTCATTCTCTCAGCTACTCCGTTTAGCTGAGGAGTATATGGGGGTGTGAACCTTTGTTGTATTCCCCGTTCCGCGCAGAATCGTGCCAGCTTGTCGGACTTGTATTCACCCCCATTGTCGCTTTGAAGGTACTTCACGCGCTTTCCGGTTTGCGTTTCGGCCATCGCAGCGTATTCCATGAACTTCGCCGCAACTTCAGATTTGCTCTTGAGCAGATAGACGACACAGTATCTTGACTTGTCATCAATGAATGTCACGAAGTACCGTTTTCCACTGAAAGTTGCCATCGACATCGGTCCGCATACGTCGCTGTGAATCACTTCGAGGAGTTTGGAGGTGCGAGCTGTAGTGTTTGATTGGAAGCGCACTCGAGTCTGTTTTCCCAGAGCACAACCTTCACACACGTCCCACTTCTTCACCGAAGATATGTCGATGCCAATTCCAATGTTCTTCGTCACGATGCAATTGAGTCCATCGTGACCTATGTGGCCAAGCCGAAGGTGCCAGAGGTACGACTTGGTGCCCCCTTGACATCCCGACGACTTGGCTGCATTTGCTTGTTCCGGCGCCACTGGAGTCATTTGCAGCTTGAACAGTCCTTTACCTTCACGGGCACCAATTTTCCACTTGGTCCCTTTCGCTTCTCCATAGCACCCATCCTTCGTGAACGTCACTGGGCCGACATCCTTGGTGAAGCGGCCGACCGAGAACAGGTTTCTGGATAACTTTGGGATGTGCCACACGTTTGTGAGCACACCTTTCTTCATCCCTTGGGGTGTCTTCATCGACATGACAATGTCCCCACTGCCGATTGCTTGGACGATTCCATCATCCGCGAGATGGACATCCACAGCGTCAAACCCCTTGTAGTTCCGCATGAACTTCTTGGAGCACGTCATGTGCTGCGTCGCCCCGGAGTCGACCAGCCAGATGTCGCTCGATTTCGCAGATGTCGTTTCACCGATCGAAAAGAGGTAGTCGCCCGAGTCTTCTTCTTGAGCGACGTTTGCACGTTGTGATCGATAGCGGTCGCCGCTGTCTTGAGCACGCTGTGGCCGGTGTCTCTCCGTGTTTTCTTGGATGCGCGAGGGGCACTCCGCCATCCAGTGACCAATCTTTCCGCAATTGTGGCACGGCCAGGACTTCTTCACTGGTCGCCCTTTGCGCTGATTGTCCCTTGTGATGAACGCTTGACCTTGCGAAGCTTCATCACCTTTACTTCCTTGCTCCTTCCGCTTCATTTCTTCATGAAGCAGTCGAGACGTCACGAGCTCCCAGCTAAGAGTGTCTGAGCGCGACTCCAAAGCTGTGATCAAGAATTGATACGAGTCACTCAGGCTGCCGAGGAGTGTGATCACCAGATCGTCCTCGCAGACTGGAGCCCCCACCGCTTCTAGCTGTTCCGCCAGCGTCTTGAGCTTGTTGATGTGTTCGAGCACATCGTCGCCTTCTTCCATCATTGTCGTGAAGAAGCGACGGCGCAAGAACAGCTTGTTGGCAAGACTCTTCTTCTCGAAGTGGTCTTCCAACCTTGACCATGCGTCGCATGCACCACTTGCCGACCGGACCAACGGTAGCTGGGAATCTTCCATGGCTAGACAGATCACTGCCATCGCCTTTCTTGACTTCCTCTTGTACGTCGCTTGGTCCAACTGAGTCTCGCACTGTTCCGCCTTGATCTCACCGCTGACGACCTCCCATAGGTCCCGTTCCTCCAGCACCATCTGCATCTTGAACTTCCAGGCGTGGAAGTTAGTTCCATCGAACTTGGAGATGCGGAGGGAGGAGGCGTCCATGGCAGCTAAGCTTGAATTGTTGGCGGTTTCAGAGTCTGACGAACTTGGGCTCATAACCTGATGAACTTTAGACTTCTTGGTCCGAGTGCAAAACGCAAAGTGAATATATATTTATAATAGGTACTTAGTTCGCAACTTTGAATACTACCTCTAAGCCTATTATTCGCAGTGACGTCATCCAGTGACGTCACCCACTGACGTCACCCACTGACGTCATGCAATGACGTCATCCAGTGACGTCATTTCCTGACTTCGCCCTTACTGGTACATACCGGTACCCACCGGTATAGCGAGGCTTGGTCTTCCACTTGCTTCAACACTTGACGCAGCTTGACGAGGTGTCTTCTTTACAGCCGCTGTCTTTTCAACAATTGCTTCAAGCCGTAGAGTGATCTCTTTAGCTTGCACACATAGTCCGGCTGTGTTGCATCCAGGTATCCGTCCGGCTGGTCCATGTAGATGTCTTCGTTGAGGGAGCCGTTAAGAAACGCTGTCTTGACGTCCATCTGATGTAGCATTAGGCCGTACTTAGCCGCCATACTGAGCACCACACGAATCGATGTGAACTTGGCCACCGGTGCGAAAGTTTCTTCATAGTCAACTCCGAATTTCTGTGAGAATCCTTTGGCCACAAGTCTTGCCTTGAAACGTTCAACTTCGCCATCTTGATTCTCCTTTACACGAAAAACCCATCGGCACCCGATGGCCTTGCGACCTTTCGGAAGAGGCACGATTTCCCACGTGTCGTTTCTCTGAAGCGAATCGAACTCCGAGTCACACGCTTCTTTCCACTTGCCGGAGTCGCTTGATTCCATCGCCGACTTGAATGTAGTCGGCGTTTCCCCCACTGAATCAACGATGTAGGCTGCTTCAAAATCCATTGCAGCCGCTGACACATGCTCAAGCGACGGACCTCTGTATGTTCTTCGCTTGGGACTTGGAATGACGGTAGCTTTCTCAAGTGATTGAGTGCGCGTGTGTCTCTTGATGTTGCTCTTCGAAGACCTGGTGTCTTCGTTGTCATCGTCGCTCGAGTCCATGTCGTCGTCAGTTTTACCTTCTTCTTTTTCTTCGTCCTCATCATGATCATCAAACTCAACGACACTTGACTCATCGTTGTAGTTGCGCGGACCTTCATCAAACTTGTCTTCCATGAATGTGGCATCGCGACTGATCTTGATCGCTCCTGTTGACACTTCCTCAAATCGATATGACTTCTGGTGTTCGGCGTATCCCAGGAAACGACAGAGTGATGACTTGGAGTCGAACTTCGCGCGTTTGTCTTGAGGCACTTGAACATACGCGTGGCATCCAAACACTTTAAGGTTGGCCAGAATCGGTTTCTTCATCGTCCACACTTGATATGGAGACTTGTCTTGGTGAATGGCACGTGTTGGACAGCGGTTTCGAAGAAACATCGCCGTCATCACTGCTTCACCCCAGTAGCTCTTTCCCAGTCCAGCGTGTTCCATCATGCAACGCGCACACTCGACCAGCGTGCGATTCATTCTCTCAGCTACTCCGTTTAGCTGAGGAGTATATGGGGGTGTGAACCTTTGTTGTATTCCCCGTTCCGCGCAGAATCGTGCCAGCTTGTCGGACTTGTATTCACCCCCATTGTCGCTTTGAAGGTACTTCACGCGCTTTCCGGTTTGCGTTTCGGCCATCGCAGCGTATTCCATGAACTTCGCCGCAACTTCAGATTTGCTCTTGAGCAGATAGACGACACAGTATCTTGACTTGTCATCGATGAATGTCACGAAGTACCGTTTTTCCACTGAAAGTTGCCATCGACATCGGTCCGCATACGTCGCTGTGAATCACTTCGAGGAGTTTGGAGGTGCGAGCTGTAGTGTTTGATTGGAAGCGCACTCGAGTCTGTTTTCCCAGAGCACAACCTTCACACACGTCCCACTTCTTCACCGAAGATATGTCGATGCCAATTCCAATGTTCTTCGTCACGATGCAATTGAGTCCATCGTGACCTATGTGGCCAAGCCGAAGGTGCCAGAGGTACGACTTGGTGCCCCCTTGACATCCCGACGACTTGGCTGCATTTGCTTGTTCCGGCGCCACTGGAGTCATTTGCAGCTTGAACAGTCCTTTACCTTCACGGGCACCAATTTTCCACTTGGTCCCTTTCGCTTCTCCATAGCACCCATCCTTCGTGAACGTCACTGGGCCGACATCCTTGGTGAAGCGGCCGACCGAGAACAGGTTTCTGGATAACTTTGGGATGTGCCACACGTTTGTGAGCACACCTTTCTTCATCCCTTGGGGTGTCTTCATCGACATGACAATGTCCCCACTGCCGATTGCTTGGACGATTCCATCATCCGCGAGATGGACATCCACAGCGTCAAACCCCTTGTAGTTCCGCATGAACTTCTTGGAGCACGTCATGTGCTGCGTCGCCCCGGAGTCGACCAGCCAGATGTCGCTCGATTTCGCAGATGTCGTTTCACCGATCGAAAAGAGGTAGTCGCCCGAGTCTTCTTCTTGAGCGACGTTTGCACGTTGTGATCGATAGCGGTCGCCGCTGTCTTGAGCACGCTGTGGCCGGTGTCTCTCCGTGTTTTCTTGGATGCGCGAGGGGCACTCCGCCATCCAGTGACCAATCTTTCCGCAATTGTGGCACGGCCAGGACTTCTTCACTGGTCGCCCTTTGCGCTGATTGTCCCTTGTGATGAACGCTTGACCTTGCGAAGCTTCATCACCTTTAATTCCTTGCTCCTTCCGCTTCATTTCTTCATGAAGCAGTCGAGACGTCACGAGCTCCCAGCTAAGAGTGTCTGAGCGCGACTCCAAAGCTGTGATCAAGAATTGATACGAGTCACTCAGGCTGCCGAGGAGTGTGATCACCAGATCGTCCTCGCAGACTGGAGCCCCCACCGCTTCTAGCTGTTCCGCCAGCGTCTTGAGCTTGTTGATGTGTTCGAGCACATCGTCGCCTTCTTCCATCATTGTCGTGAAGAAGCGACGGCGCAAGAACAGCTTGTTGGCAAGACTCTTCTTCTCGAAGTGGTCTTCCAACCTTGACCATGCGTCGCATGCACCACTTGCCGACCGGACCAACGGTAGCTGGGAATCTTCCATGGCTAGACAGATCACTGCCATCGCCTTTCTTGACTTCCTCTTGTACGTCGCTTGGTCCAACTGAGTCTCGCACTTTTCCGCCTTGATCTCACCGCTGACGACCTCCCATAGGTCCCGTTCCTCCAGCACCATCTGCATCTTGAACTTCCAGGCGTGGAAGTTAGTTCCATCGAACTTGGAGATGCGGAGGGAGGAGGCGTCCATAGCAGCTAAGCTTGAATTGTTGGCGGTTTCAGAGTCTGACGAACTTGGGCTCATAACCTGATGAACTTTAGACTTCTTGGTCCGAGTGCAAAACGCAAAGTGAATATATATTTATAATAGGTACTTAGTTCGCAACTTTGAATACTACCTCTAAGCCTATTATTCGCAGTGACGTCATCCAGTGACGTCACCCACTGACGTCACCCACTGACGTCATGCAATGACGTCATCCAGTGACGTCATTTCCTGACTTCGCCCTTACTGGTACATACCGGTACCCACCGGTATAGCGAAGCTTGGTCTTCCACTTGCTTCAACACTTGACGCAGCTTGACGAGGTGTCTTCTTCACAGCCGCTGTCTTTTCAACACTCGGTGAGCTCGATTACTTTCTCGGCATGGAGATCAAGAACGACCGTAAGACGGGAATGGTGACCGTACAACAAACCAAGTTTCTCAAGTCCGTGTTAACCAAGTTCGGAATGGATAACAGCAAGCCAGTGAAGACGCCTCAAGATCCCGGCCTGAAGCTAACCAAGAACATGTGTGAACAAGAATGCAAGCACGAAGACACCATGTGCAACGTGCCATATTGAAGTGCTGTCGGAGGCATCATGTATCTCATGGTCGCCACACGTCCGGATCTAGCTGCTGCAGTGGGATCATTATCCCAGTTCTCGTCCGACCCATGCCCGACTCACTGGCAAGCTTTGAAGCGTGTGCTGAGATACCTGCAAGCAACTCCCAATCATGGTCTTGAGTTTACACGTCAAGAAGGAAGCCGTATCTGCGGGTACACCGACGCAGACTGGGCCGGCGACATTGAGTCAAGACGAAGTACAAGCGGCTATGTGTTCATGATGAGCGGAGGATGCATCAGCTGGAAAAGCCAGAAACAACGGACGGTCGCGCTATCTTCAACAGAAGCAAAATACATGGCGCTTTCCGAAGCAACCAAAGAAGCAGTATGGCTCAAAGTGCTTTTGGGGGAACTTGGTGAGATGACAAGCGACGAAGCGATCAAGATGTATGAAGACAACCAAGGATCAATCGCTCTCGCCAAGAACCCGGAGTTCCATAAGAGAACAAAACACATCGACATACGCTACCATTTTGTGCGTGAGAAGGTGGAATCAGGTGAAGTCGTTTTGGAGTATTGCCCGACTCAAGATATGCTGGCAGACATGATGACCAAGCCGATCGCCGCTGTACAATTTGAAAACATTCGCGATCGACTTGGGATCCAAGGTGCCGCAGCTAACGAGTCGAGAGGGAGTGTTGAAAAGACAGCGGCTGTGAAGAAGACACCTCGTCAAGCTGCGTCAAGTGTTGAAGCAAGTGGAAGACCAAGCTTCGCTATACCGGTGGGTACCGGTATGTACCAGTAAGGGCGAAGTCAGGAAATGACGTCACTGGATGACGTCATTGCATGACGTCAGTGGGTGACGTCAGTGGGTGACGTCACTGGATGACGTCATTGCATGACGTCAGTGGGTGACGTCAGTGGGTGACGTCACTGGATGACGTCACTGCGAATAATAGGCTTAGAGGTAGTATTCAAAGTTGCGAACTAAGTACCTATTATAGATATATATTCACTTTGCGTTTTGCACTCGGACCAAGAAGTCTAAAGTTCATCAAAACGCGCGAAGTTCGACTCCAAGTCATCACTCTGTCGTTTCCTGGGATACGCCGAACACCAGAAGTCATATCGATTTGAGGAAGTGTCAACAGGAGCGATCAAGATCAGTCGCGATGCCACATTCATGGAAGACAAGTTTGATGAAGGTCCGCGCAACTACAACGATGAGTCAAGTGTCGTTGAGTTTGATGATCATGATGAGGACGAAGAAAAAGAAGAAGGTAAAACTGACGACGACATGGACTCGAGCGACGATGACAACGAAGACACCAGGTCTTCGAAGAGCAACATCAAGAGACACACGCGCACTCAATCACTTGAGAAAGCTACCGTCATTCCAAGTCCCAAGCGAAGAACGTACAGATGTCCGTCGCTTGAGCATGTGTCAGCGGCTGCAATGGATTTTGAAGCAGCCTACATCGTTGATTCAGTGGGGGAAACGCCGACTACATTCAAGTCGGCGATGGAATCAAGCGACTCCGGCAAGTGGAAAGTGTTGAAAAGACAGCGGCTGTGAAGAAGACACCTCGTCAAGCTGCGTCAAGTGTTGAAGCAAGTGGAAGACCAAGCTTCGCTATACCGGTGGGTACCGGTATGTACCAGTAAGGGCGAAGTCAGGAAATGACGTCACTGGATGACGTCATTGATGAACTTTAGACTTCTTGGTCCGAGTGCAAAACGCAAAGTGAATATATATTTATAATAGGTACTTAGTTCGCAACTTTGAATACTACCTCTAAGCCTATTATTCGCAGTGACGTCATCCAGTGACGTCACCCACTGACGTCATGCAATGACGTCATCCAGTGACGTCATTTCCTGACTTCGCCCTTACTGGTACATACCGGTACCCACCGGTATAGCGAAGCTTGGTCTTCCACTTGCTTCAACACTTGACGCAGCTTGACGAGGTGTCTTCTTCACAGCCGCTGTCTTTTCAACACTCCCTCTCGACTCGTTAGCTGCGGCACCTTGGATCCCAAGTCGATCGCGAATGTTTTCAAATTGTACAGCGGCGATCGGCTTGGTCATAATGTCTGCCAGCATATCTTGAGTCGGGCAATACTCCAAAACGACTTCACCTGATTCCACCTTCTCACGCACAAAATGGTAGCGTATGTCGATGTGTTTTGTTCTCTTATGGAACTCCGGGTTCTTGGCGAGAGCGATTGATCCTTGGTTGTCTTCATACATCTTGATCGCTTCGTCGCTTGTCATCTCACCAAGTTCCCCCAAAAGCACTTTGAGCCATACTGCTTCTTTGGTTGCTTCGGAATGTTGAAAAGACAGCGGCTGTGAAGAAGACACCTCGTCAAGCTGCGTCAAGTGTTGAAGCAAGTGGAAGACCAAGCTTCGCTATACCGGTGGGTACCGGTATGTACCAGTAAGGGCGAAGTCAGGAAATGACGTCACTGGATGACGTCATTGCATGACGTCAGTGGGTGACGTCAGTGGGTGACGTCACTGGATGACGTCACTGCGAATAATAGGCTTAGAGGTAGTATTCAAAGTTGCGAACTAAGTACCTATTATAAATATATATTTACTTTGCGTTTTGCACTCGGACCAAGAAGTCTAAAGTTCATCAGGTTATGAGCCCAAGTTCGTCAGACTCTGAAACCGCCAACAATTGAAGCTTAGCTGCCATGGACGCCTCCTCCCTCCGCATCTCCAAGTTCGATGGAACTAACTTCCACGCCTGGAAGTTCAAGATGCAGATGGTGCTGGAGGAACGGGACCTATGGGAGGTCGTCAGCGGTGAGATCAAGGCGGAACAGTGCGAGACTCAGTTGGACCAAGCGACGTACAAGAGGAAGTCAAGAAAGGCGATGGCAGTGATCTGTCTAGCCATGGAAGATTCCCAGCTACCGTTGGTCCGGTCGGCAAGTGGTGCATGCGACGCATGGTCAAGGTTGGAAGACCACTTCGAGAAGAAGAGTCTTGCCAACAAGCTGTTCTTGCGCCGTCGCTTCTTCACGACAATGATGGAAGAAGGCGACGATGTGCTCGAACACATCAACAAGCTCAAGACGCTGGCGGAACAGCTAGAAGCGGTGGGGGCTCCAGTCTGCGAGGACGATCTGGTGATCACACTCCTCGGCAGCCTGAGTGACTCGTATCAATTCTTGATCACAGCTTTGGAGTCGCGCTCAGACACTCTTAGCTGGGAGCTCGTGACGTCTCGACTGCTTCATGAAGAAATGAAGCGGAAGGAGCAAGGAAGTAAAGGTGATGAAGCTTCGCAAGGTCAAGCGTTCATCACAAGGGACAATCAGCGCAAAGGGCGACCAGTGAAGAAGTCCTGGCCGTGCCACAATTGCGGAAAGATTGGTCACTGGATGGCGGAGTGCCCTCGCGCATCCAAGAAAACACGGAGAGACACCGGCCACAGCGTGCTCAAGACAGCGGCGACCGCTATCGATCACAACGTGCAAACGTCGCTCAAGAAGAAGACTCGGGCGACTACCTCTTTTCGATCGGTGAAACGACATCTGCGAAATCGAGCGACATCTGGCTGGTCGACTCCGGGGCGACGCAGCACATGACGTGCTCCAAGAAGTTCATGCGGAACTACAAGGGGTTTGACGCTGTGGATGTCCATCTCGCGGATGATGGAATCGTCCAAGCAATCGGCAGTGGGGACATTGTCATGTCGATGAAGACACCCCAAGGGATGAAGAAAGGTGTGCTCACAAACGTGTGGCACATCCCAAAGTTATCCAGAAACCTGTTCTCGGTCGGCCGCTTCACCAAGGATGTCGGCCCAGTGACGTTCACGAAGGATGGGTGCTATGGAGAAGCGAAAGGGACCAAGTGGAAAATTGGTGCCCGTGAAGGTAAAGGACTGTTCAAGCTGCAAATGACTCCAGTGGCGCCGGAACAAGCAAATGCAGCCAAGTCGTCGGGATGTCAAGGGGGCACCAAGTCGTACCTCTGGCACCTTCGGCTTGGCCACATAGGTCACGATGGACTCAATTGCATCGTGACGAAGAACATTGGAATTGGCATCGACATATCTTCGGTGAAGAAGTGGGACGTGTGTGAAGGTTGTGCTCTGGGAAAACAGACTCGAGTGCGCTTCCAATCAAACACTACAGCTCGCACCTCCAAACTCCTCGAAGTGATTCACAGCGACGTATGCGGACCGATGTCGATGGCAACTTTCAGTGGAAAACGGTACTTCGTGACATTCATTGATGACAAGTCAAGATACTGTGTCGTCTATCTGCTCAAGAGCAAATCTGAAGTTGCGGCGAAGTTCATGGAATACGCTGCGATGGCCGAAACGCAACCGGAAAGCGCGTGAAGTACCTTCAAAGCGACAATGGGGGTGAATACAAGTCCGACAAGCTGGCACGATTCTGCGCGGAACGGGGAATACAACAAAGGTTCACACCCCCATATACTCCTCAGCTAAACGGAGTAGCTGAGAGAATGAATCGCACGCTGGTCGAGTGTGCGCGTTGCATGATGGAACACGCTGGACTGGGAAAGAGCTACTGGGGTGAAGCAGTGATGACGGCGATGTTTCTTCGAAACCGCTGTCCAACACGTGCCATTCACCAAGACAAGTCTCCATATCAAGTGTGGACGATGAAGAAACCGATTCTGGCCAACCTTAAAGTGTTTGGATGCCACGCGTATGTTCAAGTGCCTCAAGACAAACGCGCGAAGTTCGACTCCAAGTCATCACTCTGTCGTTTCCTGGGATACGCCGAACACCAGAAGTCATATCGATTTGAGGAAGTGTCAACAGGAGCGATCAAGATCAGTCGCGATGCCACATTCATGGAAGACAAGTTTGATGAAGGTCCGCGCAACTACAACGATGAGTCAAGTGTCGTTGAGTTTGATGATCATGATGAGGACGAAGAAAAAAAAGAAGGTAAAACTGACGACGACATGGACTCGAGCGACGATGACAACGAAGACACCAGGTCTTCGAAGAGCAACATCAAGAGACACACGCGCACTCAATCACTTGAGAAAGCTACCGTCATTCCAAGTCCCAAGCGAAGAACATACAGAGGTCCGTCGCTTGAGCATGTGTCAGCGGCTGCAATGGATTTTGAAGCAGCCTACATCGTTGATTCAGTGGGGGAAACGCCGACTACATTCAAGTCGGCGATGGAATCAAGCGACTCCGGCAAGTGGAAAGAAGCGTGTGACTCGGAGTTCGATTCGCTTCAGAGAAACGACACGTGGGAAATCGTGCCTCTTCCGAAAGGTCGCAAGGCCATCGGGTGCCGATGGGTTTTTCGTGTAAAGGAGAATCAAGATGGCGAAGTTGAACGTTTCAAGGCAAGACTTGTGGCCAAAGGATTCTCACAGAAATTCGGAGTTGACTATGAAGAAACTTTCGCACCGGTGGCCAAGTTCACATCGATTCGTGTGGTGCTCAGTATGGCGGCTAAGTACGGCCTAATGCTACATCAGATGGACGTCAAGACAGCGTTTCTTAACGGCTCCCTCAACGAAGACATCTACATGGACCAGCCGGACGGATACCTGGATGCAACACAGCCGGACTATGTGTGCAAGCTAAAGAGATCACTCTACGGCTTGAAGCAATCGCCTCGCATGTGGAACCAAACAATCGATGGGTTCATGATCAAGATGGGATTCAAGAAGTGCGAATCGGACCACTGCATCTACATCAAGCGAGACGACCAAGACATGATTCTCGTGGTGCTCTACGTCGATGATCTCATCCTGGCCAGCAGCAACAACGAACTCCTCAAGTCAACCAAGATGGCGCTGAGCAAACGCTTCGAAATGACGGATCTCGGTGAGCTCGATTACTTTCTCGGCATGGAGATCAAGAACGACCGTAAGACGGGAATGGTGACTGTACAACAAACCAAGTTTCTCAAGTCCGTGTTAACCAAGTTCGGAATGGATAACAGCAAGCCAGTGAAGACGCCTCAAGATCCCGGCCTGAAGCTAACCAAGAACATGTGTGAACAAGAATGCAAGCACGAAGACACCATGTGCAACGTGCCATATCGAAGTGCTGTCGGAGGCATCATGTATCTCATGGTCGCCACACGTCCGGATCTAGCTGCTGCAGTGGGATCATTATCCCAGTTCTCGTCCGACCCATGCCCGACTCACTGGCAAGCTTTGAAGCGTGTGCTGAGATACCTGCAAGCAACGCCCAATCATGGTCTTGAGTTTACACGTGAAGAAGGAAGCCGTATCTGCGGGTACACCGACGCAGACTGGGCCGGCGACATTGAGTCAAGACGAAGTACAAGCGGCTATGTGTTCATGATGAGCGGAGGATGCATCAGCTGGAAAAGCCAGAAACAACGGACGGTCGCGCTATCTTCAACAGAAGCAGAATACATGGCGCTTTCCGAAGCAACCAAAGAAGCAGTATGGCTCAAAGTGCTTTTGGGGGAACTTGGTGAGATGACAAGCGACGAAGCGATCAAGATGTATGAAGACAACCAAGGATCAATCGCTCTCGCCAAGAACCCGGAGTTCCATAAGAGAACAAAACACATCGACATACGCTACCATTTTGTGCGTGAGAAGGTGGAATCAGGTGAAGTCGTTTTGGAGTATTGCCCGACTCAAGGTATGCTGGCAGACATGATGACCAAGCCGATCGCCGCTGTACAATTTGAAAACATTCGCGATCGACTTGGGATCCAAGGTGCCGCAGCTAACGAGTCGAGAGGGAGTGTTGAAAAGACAGCGGCTGTGAAGAAGACACCTCGTCAAGCTGCGTCAAGTGTTGAAGCAAGTGGAAGACCAAGCTTCGCTATACCGGTGGGTACCGGTATGTACCAGTAAGGGCGAAGTCAGGAAATGACGTCAGTGGGTGACGTCAGTGGGTGACGTCACTGGATGACGTCACTGCGAATAATAGGCTTAGAGGTAGTATTCAAAGTTGCGAACTAAGTACCTATTATAAATATATATTCACTTTGCGTTTTGCACTCGGACCAAGAAGTCTAAAGTTCATCACGTTGTTTCTGGCTTTTCCAGCTGATGCATCCTCCGCTCATCATGAACACATAGCCGCTTGTACTTCGTCTTGACTCAATGTCGCCGGCCCAGTCTGCGTCGGTGTACCCGCAGATACGGCTTCCTTCTTCACGTGTAAACTCAAGACCATGATTGGGCGTTGCTTGCAGGTATCTCAGCACACGCTTCAAAGCTTGCCAGTGAGTCGGGCATGGGTCGGACGAGAACTGGGATAATGATCCCACTGCAGCAGCTAGATCCGGACGTGTGGCGACCATGAGATACATGATGCCTCCGACAGCACTTCGATATGGCACGTTGCACATGGTGTCTTCGTGCTTGCATTCTTGTTCACACATGTTCTTGGTTAGCTTCAGGCCGGGATCTTGAGGCGTCTTCACTGGCTTGCTGTTATCCATTCCGAACTTGGTTAACACGGACTTGAGAAACTTGGTTTGTTGTACAGTCACCATTCCCGTCTTACGGTCGTTCTTGGTCTCCATGCCGAGAAAGTAATCGAGCTCACCGAGATCCGTCATTTCGAAGCGTTTGCTCAGCGCCATCTTGGTCGACTTGAGGAGTTCGTTGTTGCTGCTGGCCAGGATGAGATCATCGACGTAGAGCACCACGAGAATCATGTCTTGGTCGTCTCGCTTGATGTAGATGCAGTGGTCCGATTCGCACTTCTTGAATCCCATCTTGATCATGAACCCATCGATTGTTTGGTTCCACATGCGAGGCGATTGCTTCAAGCCGTAGAGTGATCTCTTTAGCTTGCACACATAGTCCGGCTGTGTTGCATCCAGGTATCCGTCCGGCTGGTCCATGTAGATGTCTTCGTTGAGGGAGCCGTTAAGAAACGCTGTCTTGACGTCCATCTGATGTAGCATTAGGCCGTACTTAGCCGCCATACTGAGCACCACACGAATCGATGTGAACTTGGCCACCGGTGCGAAAGTTTCTTCATAGTCAACTCCGAATTTCTGTGAGAATCCTTTGGCCACAAGTCTTGCCTTGAAACGTTCAACTTCGCCATCTTGATTCTCCTTTACACGAAAAACCCATCGGCACCCGATGGCCTTGCGACCTTTCGGAAGAGGCACGATTTCCCACGTGTCGTTTCTCTGAAGCGAATCGAACTCCGAGTCACACGCTTCTTTCCACTTGCCGGAGTCGCTTGATTCCATCGCCGACTTGAATGTAGTCGGCGTTTCCCCCACTGAATCAACGATGTAGGCTGCTTCAAAATCCATTGCAGCCGCTGACACATGCTCAAGCGACGGACCTCTGTATGTTCTTCGCTTGGGACTTGGAATGACGGTAGCTTTCTCAAGTGATTGAGTGCGCGTGTGTCTCTTGATGTTGCTCTTCGAAGACCTGGTGTCTTCGTTGTCATCGTCGCTCGAGTCCATGTCGTCGTCAGTTTTACCTTCTTCTTTTTCTTCGTCCTCATCATGATCATCAAACTCAACGACACTTGACTCATCGTTGTAGTTGCGCGGACCTGTTGAAAAGACAGCGGCTGTGAAGAAGACACCTCGTCAAGCTGCGTCAAGTGTTGAAGCAAGTGGAAGACCAAGCTTCGCTATACCGGTGGGTACCGGTATGTACCAGTAAGGGCGAAGTCAGGAAATGACGTCACTGGATGACGTCAGTGGGTGACGTCAGTGGGTGACGTCACTGGATGACGTCACTGCGAATAATAGGCTTAGAGGTAGTATTCAAAGTTGCGAACTAAGTACCTATTATAAATATATATTCACTTTGCGTTTTGCACTCGGACCAAGAAGTCTAAAGTTCATCAGGTTATGAGCCCAAGTTCGTCAGACTCTGAAACCGCCAACAATTCAAGCTTAGCTGCCATGGACGCCTCCCTCCCTCCGCATCTCCAAGTTCGATGGAACTAACTTCCACGCCTGGAAGTTCAAGATGCAGATGGTGCTGGAGGAACGGGACCTATGGGAGGTCGTCAGCGGTGAGATCAAGGCGGAACAGTGCGAGACTCAGTTGGACCAAGCGACGTACAAGAGGAAGTCAAGAAAGGCGATGGCAGTGATCTGTCTAGCCATGGAAGATTCCCAGCTACCGTTGGTCCGGTCGGCAAGTGGTGCATGCGACGCATGGTCAAGGTTGGAAGACCACTTCGAGAAGAAGAGTCTTGCCAACAAGCTGTTCTTGCGCCGTCGCTTCTTCACGACAATGATGGAAGAAGGCGACGATGTGCTCGAACACATCAACAAGCTCAAGACGCTGGCGGAACAGCTAGAAGCGGTGGGGGCTCCAGTCTGCGAGGACGATCTGGTGATCACACTCCTCGGCAGCCTGAGTGAC